CGCCCGAGCTGCAGGACGACGACGACCCGGCCGCCGCTGCTGTGGCCGCCGCCGCCGCCGCCCCGCAGCCCGAGCACAAGCAGCAGAAGCTCTGGCACCTCTTCCAGAACTCGGCCACCGCCGTGGCGCAGCTCTACAAGGGTGAGATGAGGGGGGGGGCGTCCCCCGGTGGCACGGGTGTGTGTGTGTGTGTGTGTGTGAGAGTGGCAACGATGAGGACTAGAACCCCCCCCCCGCAGCCACCCGCCCGCCCAAGATCTCAAATCTTTTGATTTTTTCTCTCTCCCTTGTGAACCTCCCCCCAAAGTAAAAACCAGTCACCAAAATATTGTCCTCCCTTCCTCATAGATCTCGTTGTTAAAAAGCAAATCCCACCCTGCGTTGATTGCAAGGGGAAGGAAAGTTATTGTCTGTAAAAAAACCGAGAAGAGCTTCCAGTTGGAAAGGGGGGTAGGGAGAAATGAATAGAGGCAGACGAGATCTCTTCCCCCCCCCTTTACACACACACACACACACACACACTTCGGAGCCCACCAGGATAAAAAGGGGCCCGGCGCTTACCGGGTCGTGGGTCGGTTCCGTGTGTGAGAGAGGGGGGAGGGGGGTCGCGAACGTGGGGAGGCGCGCCTGCGTGTCTGACGCGTGTGCGCGCCGGCCTCCTTGGCTTCCCGTGGGGGGGAAGTGGGGGCATCAGGACACGCGTGCCTTGCTCTCATACAGACGTGCATCTTGGACCACCTCAAACCCTCCCCTCCCCCGCCCGTCGTTTCTCCTCAGAAAAGGGGGGGGTCGAAGCGCCTGAGGGGGGGAGGAAAGTGGTGGGGTGGGGTCCGAAGGTGGCCCCTCAGACACAGACACACACCCCGGGCTCGTGGGAATGTGAGGAGGGGGTGAAGAGAAGGGGGCGTGAGGGGCGCGGCAGGAAGGGCGTCGTGGGGACGACGGAGGGACGGACGGGGCGAGGAAGGCCGGCCTGCCAGCCTGCCTGTGGGGCTTGGCCTGGCTGCGTGTCAGGGTGAGGGCCGGCGTGTACACGCGTCCCACCGTCCACACGCGCGTCTCATACACACACACGGGCCTGTGGGGGGGGGAAGAAGGCCGGGCGCGCACACAAAATGGCGTGAGGCGGATTCCGGCTGGCTGGCTGGCTGGGCGCTTCCCTTTCTTCCCCCTTCCTGCCCCCTTTTGATCCCTCTCCCTCCCGTGTCCGAGGAGACAGACAAGCACCGGGAAGGAGGGGGGGTTCCCCCCTCTCTT